TTCTCGAAGACCTGGTGCAGCTCCTGCAGGGACGGCCGGATGACTCTGGTGCCGCTGATGCTCGCGGCGTTGCGGTAGAAGTCTGCGTTCGGGACGCGGTCCAGCGTGGCGTGTCCAAACGCACTCGCGACGGACGACCGCACCGCGCGCCGCTCCCCGTTCCCGAAGCCGTTGCTGGAGAACGACGTCTCCTCGTACTGAGGAGGGTCATCCTTAGATTTCTCGAACCCAGGATTCTCCATCAGCTGCGTGTGTGTGTGTGTGTGTGTGTGTGTGTGTGTGTGCAACTCTTTATATGGTTCACAGGTGGATCCTGATTGGTTGGGAAAGTGTTCTCGCTCCATCAAAGGCGAAGCGCTTAAATATTAACGTGGATATTATTAGAGATGGTTTTATGATTGTTTTAATGTTTATGATGTGTGTGTGTGTGTGTGTGTAGGTGGTCATGTGGAGTGTTTCTGTGTTGATGAGGTTAATGTAAAGCCAGTAAGTCGCTCGGGGCGCTTCTGACACATTACACAAACACTTCCTTATGGCCTGCACTCATGGGTTGTGTAATGTTGTGACGGTCGAGGTTGACCTTGGAAAGGTTTGGGTCCTGTGGGATTAATAGGAGAGTTCGCCGAGTGACCTCTGATTGGCTGAAGGTGATGTGGGTGTGGTCTTGTGACCTCTGACCTTGAGCTGTGGATTTTAGGCCGTTCATGTGTTTGACTCCATCAATCGAGTGTTTTGATTTTTTTGGCCTTCATGTATTCCTCGGTGTGTCTGGGGTGCAAGACATGTTGTAATCAGTGTGTGTGTGTGTGTGTGTGTGTGTGTGTGTGTGCAGGGACGGACTGGGATTAAATCGGACCTGGACTTTGACTAGGCCCAGCCCAAAGCAATCAGCGCGCGGAAACTCGACAACAACAATAAAGCCGGCCGTCTGGCATGAGAGTCACAAGACTTTAATTGTGGTTCATGATACTATACTTGATACTATACATGGTATTATAGATACAGCATATTATACAAACCTATTCCATGCTGCCTTAAAATGAATTTATTACTTAAAAATCCTAAAGGAGTAGTTCATTTTTAAAAAGACTTTGCTGATAATTTACTCGCCCCCGTGTCATCCAAGATGTCCATGTCTTTCTTTCTTCAGTCGAAAAGAAATGAAGGTTTTTGATGAAAACATTCCAGGATTTTCTCCATATAATGGACTTCAATGGGGACCAAACGGTTCAGTTCTGTTCGGTTTCAGTGCAAACTGTTCAAAGGGCTTTAAACGATTCCAGACGATGAATAAGGGTCTTATCAAGCGAAACGATCGCTCATTTAATAAATAAATAACAAAGTTTAAGTTTTATAAGCTCAAATGCTCGCCTTGCTCGATTCTGTGACGCGCGTTCGTGACTCTCCTGTTCAAAGTCGTTCATCAAAATGAACAAATCTTTTTTGAGTTATTTGGTTCATTCAACGAACGAACTGACTCTGAAAAAGATTTGTTCATTTTGATAAACGACTTTGAACAGGAGAGTCACGAACGCGCGTCACAGAACAGAGCAAGGCGAGCATTTGAGCTTATAAAACTTAAACTTTGTTATTTATTAATTAAATGAGTGATCGTTTCGCTTGATAAGACCCTTATTCATCGTCTGGAATCATTTAAAGCCCTTTGAACAGTTTGCACTGAAACTGTCTTTTGGACCTTGAACCGTTTGGACCCCATTGAAGTCCATTATACGGAGAAAATCCTGGAACGTTTTCATCAAAAACCTTCATTTCTTTTCGACTGAAGAAAGAAAGACATGGACATCTTGGATGACATGGGGGCGAGTAAATTATCAGCTAAAGTTTTTTTAAAAAGTAAACTACTCCTTTAATTAATTTATGCAGTAATTAATCTTAGCTATTGTACAAATGATAATACCACATCTAGATGAAAATAGGCTACACCATTACAAATGTAACATATTCAAAATCTTCAAAGTAAGCATTAACTGTAACGTTACCAGCATTTTTAAAAGTAAAAGCACATATCTCTTAATATTAGCTACTGCATGTGGCATTTTACAGCTGAAATGTTGAAGTTTAGCTGGTTTAACTACTGTAATCATTAAACATATAGCCAGCTGAATATCACTTACATCATCTCTAGCAAGTAACTTGCAAAGTCATTTCTGATTAATTCGGTTTGGGAGTAGTAGAGCCCACCTGCACTGACAATTGAATGGTTGGGTCCTGTGTGTGTGTGTGTGTGTGTGAGAGAGCGAGTGAGGGAGTGTGTGTGTGTGTGTATTTATCTCTTGCAACAGTGATTCCCTTATGGAAGAATAACTAAGGTATCGTGACAAACATGACAACTCGATTCTGAGTTTTCTTAAGGCTCTTAAAGGTCGACTGCTCATCTCCGCAACATCCCGGCAGACAGTCAAAGTCAAAATTGCTTCATTGACATGACTGTAATAATACAATAATGCCAAAGCTTGGAATACATAGAAATATAATAACGTTCATATTTGTTATAATTGTGATGATATTGGCTTACAGATATGAAACCCCAAATTCTAAATTAGAATATTGTGAAAAGGTTTTCATATCTGTAATCCATAATCATCCAGATTATAACAAATAATGGCTTGAAATATCTCACTTTGCATGTAATGAGTCTATATAATATATTAGTTTCACCTTTTTAAGTTGAATTACTGAAATAAATGAATTTTGGCCTATAGTATTGGGCCTATTTTAAAATAGAGAAAAAACGGGAAAAATACTTCTGGAACGAGCGATGAAGGTCAAACGTGAATCCACAAGGTACACTTTGATTTCATGTCTTAGGAAATAAACGGACAGCAAAAGGAAGGTCCATAATTGTTTTATTCCAGCAGATGAATAAATACAGACCATCTTCAGCATCAGAGAAACACAGTGGCCGTCATCCTCTCACACACACATACACACACAAACACACACAGTTATATGCTACCGTCGCTAAATGAAGGCACATAATCCAGTCTGAGTAACAGTAAGGCAGATTCACAGCACTAGAACACGAGATGAGCTACGCTTTCACTCGGATCCGGCTCGCGTTTCTCTGCTGTCGTCATGGTGACACACCCTTCAGTCACGCAAACAAACAAACACTGCTGTCGTCATGGTGACACACCCTTCAGTCCCACAAACAAACAAACAAACACTGCTGTCGTCATGGTGACACACCCTTCAGTCACGCAAACAAACAAACACTGCTGTCGTCATGGTGACACACCCTTCAGTCACGCAAACAAACAAACAAACACTGCTGTCGTCATGGTGACACACCCTTCAGTCACGCAAACAAACAAACAAACACTGCTGTCGTCATGGTGACACACCCTTCAGTCACGCAAACAAACAAACACTGCTGTCGTCATGGTGACACACCCTTCAGGTACGCAAACAAACAAACACTGCTGTTGTCATGGTGACACACCCTTCAGTCACCCAAACAAACAAACAAACACTGCTGTCGTCATGTGACACACCCTTCAGTCACGCAAACAAACAAACACTGCTGTCGTCATGTGACACACCCTTCAGTCACGCAAACAAACACTGCTGTCGTCATGGTGACACACCCTTCAGTCACGCAAATAAACAAACACTGCTGTCGTCATGGTGACACACCCTTCAGTCACGCAAACAAACAAACACTGCTGTCGTCATGGTGACACACCCTTCAGGTACGCAAACAAACAAACACTGCTGTCGTCATGGTGACACACCCTTCAGTCACGCAAACAAACAAACAAACACTGCTGTCGTCATGGTGACACACCCTTCAGTCACGCAAACAAACAAACACTGCTGTCGTCATGGTGACACACCCTTCAGTCACGCAAACAAACAAACACTGCTGTCGTCATGGTGACACACCCTTCAGTCACGCAAACAAACAAACAAACACTGCTGTCGTCATGGTGACACACCCTTCTGTCACGCAAACAAACAAATAAACACTGCTGTTGTCATGGTGACACACCCTTCTGTCACGCAATCAATCAAACAAACACTGCTGTCGTCATGGTGACACAACCTTCTGTCACGCAAACAAACACTGCTGTTGTCATGGTGACACACCCTTCTGTCACACAAACAAACAAACACTGCTGTTGTCATGGTGACACACCCTTCTGTCACGCACACAATCAAACAAACAAACACTGCTGTCGTCATGGTGACACACCCTTCAGTCACGCAAACAAACAAACAAACAAACACTGCTGTTGTCATGGTGACACACCCTTCTGTCACGCAAACAAACAAACAAACACTGCTGTTGTCATGGTGACACACCCTTCAGTCACGCAAACAAACAAACAAACACTGCTGACGTCATGGTGACACACCCTTCTGTCACGCAAACAAACAAACAAACACTGCTGTCGTCATGGTGACACACCCTTCTGTCACGCAAACAAACACTGCTGTCGTCATGGTGACACACCCTTCTGTCACGCAAACAAACAAACACTGCTGTCGTCATGTAACACACCCTTCTGTCCCACAAACAAACAAACAAACACTGCTGTCGTCATGGTGACACACCCTTCAATCACGCAAACAAACAAACACTGCTGTCGTCATGGTGACACACCCTTCAGTCACGCAAACAAACAAACAAACACTGCTGTTGTCATGGTGACACACCCTTCAGTCACGCAAACAAACAAACAAACACTGCTGTTGTCATGGTGACACACCCTTCTGTCACGCACACAAACAAACAAACACTGCTGTCGTCATGGTGACACACCCTTCAGTCACGCAAACAAACAAACACTGCTGTCGTCATGGTGACACACCCTTCTGTCATGCAAACAAACACTGCTGTCGTCATGGTGACACATCCTTCTGTCATGCAAACAAACACTGCTGTCGTCATGGTGACACATCCTTCTGTCCCACAAACAATCAAACAAACACTGCTGTCGTCATGGTGACACACCCTTCTGTCATGCAAACAATCAAACAAACAAACAAACAAACACTGCTGTCGTCATGTGACACACCCTTCTGTCACACAAACAAACAAACACGGAGGTGGTGTGTGTCACCATTTCAGACATTACATTCAAGAATTTGGTAACGCTTCTTTTTACAGTCCTGTTACCCATGTACTATGTACTTATTATAGGAATTACATTTACTGGGTAATAACTAGGTACTAACCCTGAACCGACCCCTAACCCATGTACTTACCAGTGCTTTGTATTAGCAGTATAGCTGTACTAATATTGGCAGTATTAGCCAGTACTTTCTAGGTAAGTATACTGTAAGTACACTTAAGAACTGCACTATAAAAGGAAGCGTTACCAAGAATTTTCCCTCTCAAAGTCTCTGTGGTTTCATATCTGTGCAGATGTTTTCAGATTTATGCTTCTCAGAAACAGCAGGTTATGTGAGTTATAGATCACAGTAAATAGGAGAGTTAGGCCGCAAACGTACTTCAATACCCAACGGGCGGACGGCATGAATGAAAGGGCGAGATTACTGTGTTTACATCCTCACACATGTGCCATCTTGTGTTCTTTTCAAGTCTTTTCTCCTCTTCCCTGAGATGCCCAGTGGCTAAATGATGTGACATCATACAACAAATTCACTGTAAAATTATGTAACTAATTATGTCCTTCCTCATTTTTTTTTTATCTTGTTTTCCAAATTTCTAAACATTCTTAAATCAAGATACATTTACTGAAGAAGCAAAAATGACTGAAGATGTTACTCATGTATGGAGTAGAAACAACGAAACCTCTGGGTGCATTATCAGGCTTTCCCGCTCAGGGCTCTCAGCGCTGGAAAACGCGTGTCCTAAAACTCTTGCCTGAAATATTTCTTGTTGTAATGTCTCTCAGCCATCTCTCTTTCTACAGTCTTTCTTTAAATCTCCCTCCTACTCACTTTCTCTCCTCCCCAATCATGAGTGGACACACCCCCTACTGCTGATTGGCTCACTCTGTCCTCCCATGTCATGAGTCGATACGGCCCCTACTGCTGATTTGCTCAATCTCACTCCACCCCTTTCTTGGGTGGACACGCCCCCTCTGCTGATTGGCTAACTCGCTCTCCTCCCCTTCTTTATTTTTTTTTTCTTGTACTTTACCTCTATTTTGTTTTTTTGCTTTTAATTGTTGTGCCTGTAAAGCTCTTTGAACTGCATTCATTTGTTTGGAAAAGTGCTATATAAATAAAATTTGCTTGCTTGAGTGGACACGCCCCCTAATCATGATTGGCTCACTCGCTCTCATCCCCCTTCATGAATGGATACGCCCCCTATTGCTGCTGATTGGCTCAATCTCTCCTCCCCCATCATGAGTAGACACGCCCCCTACTGCTGATTGGCTATTAGTGTGTCGTGCTGCTCAGTCCTGTAAAATTTAACAGCATTTCTTAGAAATCACTTACTAATATCTTAAGTCATCTTGATTTAAGAATGTTTAGATGCAGTATTTTTCCTGGAAAACAAGACAAAAACACGGTCTGCGTATGACGTAGGAGATCTTGATGAATTCTCTCTCCGCTTGAGGACGTTCACGCAGGACGCGTTCTCGTGATCCATCGCCGCATCAAGTTGACGTCTTTGGCCATTTCATTTGCATCATTGACATTACGTTTTCGTTTAGTGTCGTTAGTCGTTTAGTGTCGGCCCTGTATGAAGTGAAGCCTTTATGATTTATGGCGAAGGCTTTGATCTTTCCTGTAGCTCAAACAGTAGAGCGCTGGCGCTTGCAAAACCGAGGTCATGGGTTCGATCCCCAGGGAAAGCAAGAACTGACAAGAATGTAAACGTGTACCTTGAAATGCAATGTAAGTCGCTTTGGATAAAGGCGTCTGCCAAATGCTTAAATGTACATTCATGGACGGCGTTCTCAGGTGAGGGCGTATTCAAACGTGCCCTTCTCCAGCCCCTCGACTCCGTCGCCCCAGCTCGAGGACGGCATGCTACTGTAGGGGTCCAACAGGATCCGGAAACACCTGACGATCAACAAGCCCAGAAACACCAGCAACATCCCCACAAACGCGAAGGCCGTCTTCTGCTCCAGGCTCAGGGAATAGGCCATGATGTCCCCGCTGCTCATGGCCGCCAGACTGTGGTTGTAATGAACGCTACACATGTTCCCGGACGAGCCCCTTCATCCTCACGCGGCCATACTGGGGATCAACGAGGATGGATGGACGCCTGTGAAGGTAAGGGATATTTAATATTTAATGCTCATTTCAAAGCGGCACTTCATACCTGTTTTGCTCATTTCAGCATGAAAAACACCCTGCAGGGGGAGTTACTGATGAGAATGTAAACGAGTACCTTGAAATGAAATGCATCGCTTTGGATAAAGGCGTGTAAATGTAAATGGCTCTAGCTTTGGGAAGGTGTTCTCAGGCACTAAAAGCGCTGTATTCTGCTGCCTGGCCTGTAGGTGGCGACGTCATTTTGTGAAGAAACAACTGAACACGTGTGATACGCATGTGCATGACGTCACTGTTTTCACAAATTCACGTTTTTGTAGTTTACACGGAGACGATAATGTTATCGTTTTTAAAAACTTGGTTTGCATTTTCTAACCACCAAATTGAATGGCCAAAACGCATAACGTTTTATGTTTTAATTAGAAAACGGTGTCGTATAAACCCCTATATCAGAGTCAGTGTTTCTCAACTAGTTTCTCAACTGTTTCTCAACAAGTGTGTGTGTGTGTGTGACTCCTGTGGTCTATTAGTAACCAGCATAAGTGTGTATGATATGAGTGTGTCTCAGCAGAACTGCAGCAGAGCTGGAGCCGAATGCAGCAGAACACACACACTTGAGGAATCACAGCCCATCGCGATTGCAGAGTCAGAGAGACCCAGACGACATGTTTAATCTGAGCGACACATGCGGGAGAACGACCTGTTGCTCGACTGAGAGCCGCGTGTCATCGTCATGCAGAGGAAACAGTTTCAGACCGAGACGAGGAGGAGGAGGATGAAGAACACATCGAACACAAGAAGCAATCAATCTCACCTTCATTTCAGCCTCATTCTGTCAGTGTGTTTCTGTGGTTCCCCTCATCATCCCTGCAGAGAAGTGTGTGTGAGCTCTCCGGCTCGAGAGAGAGACTCTCAGCCCTGCTGCCTGCGCTCCCCGAGCTCACACACACACACACACACACACACACACACACACACTCAGATCAGAAACCACTTGTTAGTCTCCGCTGCTGATGCTCCTGCTGTTCACTCTTGCTCTCGGCTGTTCCTGGCTATTTGGTTTGCTCTGTCAATTCCCAGAAGGCTGTTCTTCTCGAGATGAGAGCTGGCTCTTTCTGTGTGTCAACTCAATTAGACCTTGTTCTTAAAGCATCGTTAGATGAACTGATGCGGCTCAGCCTGCTTTTAAAGGCACAGTGACTCCCTGTAACCCAATTCAATACCGCAATAAAGATCTTTCAGATTTTATGAAAATGTGAGAGATTCCGCTGTGTTGTGGGTGGTTACCAAGGCGTTGCTAGGGCATTATGGGGGGTTACCATGTACCAAGGCATCGCTAGGATGTTGTGGGGGGTTACTAAGGCGTTGGTATGTTTGTTGTGTGTGTGTGTGGGGGGGTTACCAAGGCGTTGCTAGGGCATTATGGGGGGTTACATGTACCAAGGCATCGCTAGGATGTTGTGGGGGGTTACCAAGGCGTTGCTAGGGTGTTGTGTGTAGTCATTTGAGAGTTTGAAGGTGTTTGCTATGGGGCAGGAGATTTCAAACTGTGGTGAGAAAAACAAATGTGAAAAATCAATAAATAATAAAACATAAGATTAAACTAAATGCATTTTTAAAAAGGATTCAAATTAGACATTTAATTAAAAAGATTAATTAATTAATACAATTTGATTTAAATGAATAAATAATATAAAATTACGAAAATAAAACATTTGATTAAAATGATACAAAATAAGACATATATATATATATGTATATATATATATATATATATATATATATATATAGGCTAATGAAAAAGATTAAACTATAAAAAAAAAGATTTTAAGAAAAATTTGCTAATAGTAAAAATGTATATATATATAAATAAACATAAACTATGTTGATCTCAATAATTAATCAAAATAAGATGAAACTAACTAAATAAAAAGGATTCAAATAAAACATTTGATTAAAATGAAAGAATAAATAAGGGACATTGATCTTGATAACATAAATAATATTATTTAAACAAAAAGTATTAAAACAAAATATTTGCTTAAAAAATATTAATTAATTAATAATACACATTTAAAATAATAATATAAATATGATTAAACTAAATCAATAAAAAAAATATATAGGCTATTAAAATAAATACAATATTCGAAAGTGACCACATAAAAACACATCTGTAACACTACTACAGTTAGTAGAAAACAGTAATAATGTAATTTAATATGAACTAAATATTTTCCAAATAATAATTTTACACATTTGTATTAATTGGGTTTTAAACATGAAAAAATCTTATGATTGGGTCATATGAACGAGGATAAATGTGGGATTTTCCCATCCGTTTTTTTGCTCTATTGTTATTCTAAAACTATATTGCACAGTAATTTCGCCTTTGTCGTTATTGGCTTTTGGCTTGCTTAGTTGGGGACATTTAATCTTATATTTAACAATATTATTATAACATTATTTTTCTGTTAACTCTGTAAAGCTGCTTTGAAACAATCTACATTGTAAAAGCGCTATAGAAATAAAGATGACTCATTTTTATATATTATAACAAAAGTAACACATTAAATGTGAGCAAGACAATAAACCTATTTAAAAGACTCAGTCTTTAGAGTCTTCTTATTGGAAGAGTCAGAAATCAAATGAACTGTTTTAACAGAAAAAGGTAAAAGAAAGGCTTACACTTAAAATATTTACACTTTTGTACAAAATACTTGGCGAGAAACAAAATTAAATTGAGTAAACAAACAACAATTGACTGTCCTCTTTCACATGTGTGTAACGCAGGATAACATTTTCACATTTCAATGGGATTTCAGGAATTATATATTACAAAAAGAAAAAAACTTAAAATGTTTTCCAAAAATTCTTAGTACACTCACAATCCCAATATAAATGAGATAAAACTTCAGTTTAGAGACCATAAGGAGCAATTTATGGAAATAAACCTTTGTAGAAAAAAAATGGGATTGCAACGATGTATAATTTTAGACTATTCTTTTATCTTATTGTACATAAATATTTTTTTGTGTGTGGCACACTCTAGCCCAGTTAATTTGACCTGTTGTTGTTTTTTAATGTTTGATTGTGTTGTTTGTAATGTACAATGGTGGTAAATGAGTTTCCCCTTACAGGAATTAAATAGGCTGTTTTTCTTAAGTCTTATACAGGTGACACTCGAAAAATTAGAATATTGTGCAAATTTATTTCAATATTTCAACTTAAAAGGTGAAACTAATAGACTCATTGCAAGCAAAGTGAGATATTTCAAGACTTTGTTTTATATAATTGTGATGATTATGGCTTATAGCTTATGAAAACCCCAAATTAAATTAGAATATCTTGAAAAGGTTTTCATAATTAGAAGACCTTTTAAGTTGACTTACTGAATGAACTTTTTTTCATTTCTTTTTTTTTTTCAAAAGAATGAAATAAAATGAATGAATGAATGAATGAATGAAAGACGGCAATAGAACAAGAGATATTTCTGGAACAGCACGAATAGGCTATTCCTGTTTGAGTTGGCGGTTCAGATACAGTAGCCTACTGAAAGCGAAGTTTTTTTCAGGATAATAGTTACCTTGAATCTTATTGATACTGTATAGTATAGAGCGCTATATACATATAATTGACTAGACTTTGAAAGCTACGCCTATAGTATGAGGAACACATTATCCCAGGGGCCCTCACAGATTTAAGCGGGAATAAAACATTTCATCAACCGCCATTTTCCTTTCGCGTCTTCTCGCGATAACTGAGCGCGGACGCGCGCTCGAGAGAGATCAGCAGTGATGGCGGACGCGGAGCTGGCGCTCGATCTCTCTGACAACAAGCAAGAAGAATCAGGCGATTCTCCGACTGACGAAGGAGAACCGGAGACAGAGAACTCCTCTGAACCCCAGCAGACAGAGGAGAACACAAATGGGGTTAAAACGTAAGTTTGAGCGTTTTAAATCTTAAATGCTGCATGTGTTGCGTCTATAATACGTGTGTGTTGTTTGTGCGGCCTGCGCGCGTTCACAGAGAAAAATAGAATCGCGTTTATTTCTATCTTCAGATAAGTCGCGGTTCGTCACGAAGAAACTATATTGGAGAAACTATCTTAAGATACACTCGATTCGTCGCGAGTGTATCTTAATAGTTTCTTCGATTTTCCGTTCCTCTCAGCGCGTATTTTTCTGTGTGTTTTGTGTCGCTGCTTATATTAGTGGCGCGCGCCAATCAAAACGGTAACCCATGGCAACGGCCGCATCATTAGCGAATGTTCGTGTGTAAAGCGCTTTATTTCGCACTCAAAGTTTATTTTCAATGTAGTTTTTGTTAAAGTTACCATGGAATCAAAATGGACGATTCTAAGGATTTTTTTATTGTATTAGGGTTTTACTTAATTTCTTGCATCTTTTAGTTTTAGGGCCTCAATATAATGCTTGAGTTCAATTTTAAACAATATAATGTTAGTTTTATTATACTTGACAATAGGAAAGACAGAGAAAATGGATGCTGCGTTAATTGCATTACATATATTTGAAAATATTAATCATACGCGTTTGTTGACAGCCATAATATATTTATTTATTATATAATAAATATTTACATTTATTGTAAACTTATGTATTATATATGTATTTTTTATTATAATTTTTTTATAGGCCTTTAGCCTGTGTAGTTGAACTGTTTTGTACTATCCCATGTGTGTTGAAGTTTTTTCCCTCTCCGTGTCTCAGCAGCGACGCCGAGGAGAAGCCGGAGCCCAAAGAGAAAAGCTCCGGGGGCCGAAAGTCTCACCGCTACCATCCGTATAAAGAGCGCCACGCTGGCGGAGACAAGAAGGCCTCGCTCAGGAACCGGGTGTTCATTAGCAATATCCCTTATGATATGAAGTGGCAGGCTATTAAAGATCTAATGCGCGAGAAAGGTAACGCACACAGACAGCGCAGCGTCCCCGTCCCGTCCTCTCCCTCTCTCGTATCTGTCATGTAGCGGAGCGGTTGTTCTTCGTCTTCGGACGCTGTTCTGGCCGGTGTGAATATGTTTTGACTCTAGGTTATTCTGGTATCTGTTGTAGTCTCTCACTGTAGCTTGATCTCACTGATATTTTGAAGGATTTGTACAGGTGGGTGGTCAAACCTGTGATTTTTCTACATCTTTGCACTAGCGCTGCACGATTAATCGCAATGAAACCACTCACGATTTGGCAAAGGCTTATTATTTTATGTGCAGTTTGTCAGTGATCGGTTGTAAGTACTCCATCTGAACACCAGAGAGCGTCACACACACACACACACACACACCACATATCTCTCTGAGCACCAGAGGGCGTCACACACTTTTTGAATGAGATGTGAAAAATATTAAATGTTTACAGTTTGAAGCACACTTTGCAGCTTTCGTATATGTAAACTAGGGCTGTGCAAAAATTAATTGCGATTAATCGCATCCAAACTAAAAGTCTGTGTTTACATAATATATTTGTGTGTGCTGTACATAATTATTTTGTATATATAAATACACACACATGCATGTATATATTTAAGAATTATTTGCGCTTAAATTCTGTATATATAAATAAATACATAATCTATATTATATAAATATTTGATATATGAATAACACATTTTCTTAAATATATACATGCATGTGTGTGTATTTATATATACAAAATAATTATATACAGCACACACAAATATATTATGCAAACACAGACTTTTATTTTGGATGCGATTAATCGCTATTAATTTTTGCACAGCCCTAATTTAAACCCAATATTGCATTTAGGTGTTGAATTTCTGATCTTAACATTAAAAACAAAGGCTGGTTTCCTCCAAATTAAGAATCGCAAAAAGCGATATTCCTTATAAGATTTGTCATAAGACAAAAAACAAATACATTTTTAAAGCACATCATTCCAGGAAACCCCTCTGAGCATCAAACTATCTGTATCTGAATAAACCAAAG